GGTATCCGCCCACGCGTCATACCTAATTGGCTGCCATTTTGGTTGGCAAGTTTATTAAGGAAGTCAATGGAGGCATAAAGAAAATCCCTCACTTACCTGCTGTAGCTCTGTCAATAGCTAAAAAAAACGCTTGTTATAAGAAAGAACAACTGCCTCTAAGCTTCTCCTGTCAAGGATTTGGTCAAATTTGCTCCAGAATTCTTAATACATACAGGCTTGTTTTTATGTCGGCCCGTTTGTTCTCCATTGAAAGTTGCCAACCAAAATGGCGGCCGGAATTTAGTTCATCCTAAACCACGCCTTACAACCGTAAAAATTTCTAATAATTTCTCCTACGCATTTAATTCTCGCCTAAGGTGGTCTATTGCAACACAGCAACACAACAATTTATCTTAATAGCAACTTATAGTTAATAGTGTTGTTCTATTTGAGTTGACTATTGTTAAATTTCAAGCAAGAGATGAGCTGTGAAGATGGAGTACCAGAAGATAAAGTAAGCATAGTACACTGAAAAATAATCATAATAATATAATAATTTCTTCAATAGGAAATTTATGAAATGAAACAAGAGGTTATACAAGCTTGGGTAAAAGCACTAATATTGCCTTTTAATATTTTAGCTACACTAATCGCGTATGGGGCATTGCTGGAAACAGGAGAGTTCATTGAAAGCAGTCAAATGCTCACATATATTCTCTTTCTGGGATATGGTGGACTTATTCTCGGTTTTTCTGTAGAAACAATGGTAGTCTTTGGTATGGCTTATCGTGACAAATGTAAAGTTTTTGAACAAATATTCTGGTTTATTTTGGAAGTTGTCCTGGCTGCTGGTGCATCTGTTGCATACTTTGTGGGAGATAACATGAATATCATGAATGATGCTGAAACTAGTAATGATAGCGAAGAAGTAGATCTAACTGTAATATCAATTCTAATACTCATTGGTGCAAAGTTAGGATTCAAAATTATTCCACATTTAGTAAAATGTGGAAAAAGTTTTAGTAAAGCTACATGTATGCACATGAACAAGACAAAAATTAATGATTCTTACTCTCCTGACAAAAACAATAATTCACCAAATGAAGTACAATTTTACGAATCATTGTTCTATGCAGTAATATTAACCATGGCTGTTGTTCCAGAGGTTGATACAACCTATACCATACTCTATAATCTCGTTAGTCTAACAACCAATATGTGTCGCACAAGGAAATATAATGTGCTGTGGGTAATATATGGCGGAATAATGTTTATTGTTATGCTAGAAATTATATATGGAGTCTCTGAAGCATTTATAAAAGGCAAACAAAGGAATAAAAATACCAAGGGCAGGCTATATAATATTTTTTTATCTATTATAGCAGTGTTAGCAATAGTAAGCAATGGGTTTTTCTTTGTTGCTGACAATGAATTACCACTAGACTGCACATCACCTTTCAACATCATGACGCATACAAGGGCTAACTATAAGCTTAGAGTAGCATTTTTAACAGTTTCATTAGCATTTTCATTGGTTATACTAGTCATTGGAATAAGTAGCTGGTCATACTTTCTTTATCAATATTACTTGTACAAAAAATCAAAACCTGGCCCAAGTAACTCACCTAAAGGAGAAACCGTGGAATTACAGGGCAAAGTAGCATTGAAGAAACCAACACAGAAAACTTTGAGCACTCCAATGTAAGTCTTGTTGACTCAGGTGCTGAAAGACTGTAATTAATAGTAAAACTTATTATTCCCAATTTCATTGCCAATGAAGTGTCATGCATAGCTTATATTTTTTACACAAATTTAGTTTTTGTAGTTACTAGACTAGTTACATCCTTTATGGTATCATAATATTTTGAGTTTTAATTTAAATTCAATTAAAATTAATTATTACATTTATTAGTGTTAAAGTATGATCTTACCCCAGCTTGAAGGACCTCCTCTCAGAACTTAAGGAAGAGTTGATACTTGATACCCTGCAGAGCTGCTTGAACTCTCGGTCATAACAACTAGCTAGATTTATACCAAGTGAGACTGTGAGAGGGCAAATGACTGATCTAGATGTGGGCATCGTTAGATATAACCACTAGCTGCTCCAATACAATGTAGCCTTGAATTATATTTACTGAACATGTACATGGATGGTGTCATTGTTTATTATTAACTGAGCAAGGGTTTCATTAAGAGAATCTAAACTACTCCCCTATTCAAAAATTTGAAAAGTTATCGATCATATTAAGGAATGCAGACGCTGGATACAGTGTCAGTGCTACCTTTATAAAGCATGCAGTAGGAAAAATTCATCGTGGGTTGCACACAATAAATAACCAGCCACACCTGTGAACCAAAGCGTGGGCGTGTCGCTTCCTGTTAGCACATTGCTTTAGCAAGTTTACACCTCAAGGTGCTAGCCAGAGTGTCAAAAATCTGCTTCTTGCTTTACTATAAGTGCTAAATTCAAAATAAAATGTATTTTATACAAAATAAGTGTGCCTCCAGGCTCCAGTTCAATAATAGTCATCATAATCATCATAATAGTCTTCATAGTCACTATCATATTCATCAGATCCATACTCATCCTCCTCCTCATAATCACGAGTAGTCCCATCATAATAGTCTCCAGAATGAGGAACATAATGGACAGCAGTTGAAGCTAAAGAATGAGTTGGTCCTACTGTAGAAGACTCATCGGAGCTCATCCATATTAAATTACAGTTATTTTTCTCAATGAATTTATCCAGTAAGCTCTCTATGGTCTTATTGCCTCTGTATCTAGCATTAACAACAATGCAATCAATGTTCTCTGAGAGAGAGACAGGCCCATGGACTTGCACCTATATTTAATAGTAGAGATAAAACAGTATTTAATGATAATAGTTATTTTAGTATCACCCACTTACTTCCTTATAGTGTGTTATCATTGTTGATTGAAGGTAAAGCTTACGATGAGTGGCAACATCAAGAATCTGTAGTAAAGGGAGAGAAGTAGGTGACTAGTTGCTCTATAACTACCACATAGCAGGAAATTTTGGAGGGAGTTAAATTTGGCGAATGGCTAAATTTTGGTGATTGGCAATTTTTAATTTGGCAAATTGTGGCCAAGTGCTATTGAGCATGCGCATAATGGCTCAAAATGGCAGGTTTTTATTTTTGTGAATGGCTATCAAGACACCAAATTCGCCAAATTTAGCTACCTCCAAAATTTCATTCATACGGTAATATATGATAAAGAATCAAAAAGGAAATGCATAAACCACCCTAGGCGTGAATTGGAAAAGTTATAAATTTCATTAATTTTATACACGGTATCTGCCCACACATCATAATTAGCTGCCATTTTGGTTGGCAAGTTTATTATGGAAGTCAATGGAGGCACGAAGAAAATGCCTCACTGACCTGCTGTAGCTCTATCAATAGCTAAAAAGCGCTTGTTACATGAAAGAACAGCTGCCTCTAAGCTTTTCTGTCAAGGATTTGGTCAAATTTGCTCCAGAATTCTTAATACAGGTCTGTTTTTATGTCAGCCCGTTTGTTCTCCATTGAAAGTTGCCAACCAAAATGGCGGCCGAAATTTATTTCATCCTAAACCACGCCTTACAACTGTAAAAATTTCTAATAATCTTCTTACGCATTCAATTCTCACCTAGGGTGGTCTATAATAATGTAATACACAAACATTAGAAATTGCAATGTCTAGTGCATGTACATGCTTACAGCTTTTAGTTCATTGTCTGAATATTCATTGAGTACATTACCATAATGCTCACAGCAGGATAGCTTCACACTTGATGAAGAAGTGTCCATTGAAGCAAAAGTGGTACGTAAACGAACTTTCTTTAACTAAAATAAAAATACTAAAATTTAAAAATATTCTATTTACCAGCAATCTAATTAACATTGGCAATCATAATCAATAATGCGAGTATAAATGATGCAAGAGAGAGTCTACTTGTAAGAATGAGTCTCCATAAGAGTAACAGCATCTCACACCTTGAGGATCTCCAACGATATTCAACACTCCATATTTAACCCTCTCAGCAGGTGGGCTATCGTGATAAATTCTATTAAATATGTTGTCCTACAAAATACATGCACATGTAAGTTTAAATTTATAGGTTTTAGTTTTAGCCATTTATGTAAAAAAACCTTAACTCAAAAGCTATTTGTCAGAATCACTACTGTATAACATACATGTAGTGTATCAATATATCAGAAAATGTAATAAAATTGTGGTGATAAAATTGGCTCATTTTTAAAATGGTTGTAACTCAAAAAATATTTGTCTAAAACATCTCGGACTTTCTACATAGCATAAGTACCAGACATGGGGTCAAGCACTAGGAAATGTGCTTAAACACAAACACAAGCACTTAAATGTGTTAGAAGTACCAGCACAAGCACAATCTATAGCTTTAACATAAGTGCTTAAGTACAAGAACAAGCATTTTTCAGAGTGTTTAATTACATTAATAAGTACTAGATATTCAATAAGTGTAAAAATTAAGTAAAATTACAATTATAGTTAATTTACTATTGCACCTAATAAACACTAACTCTGTGAATTGGTCATAATAAATGGAAACAGCAGAGAGCTTTGGAGTGATACCACTAATGGTGATGCCATTACCATTCTTCAAGCTAACACACAATCACACAATGTGCTACGAAACTTGTATACTGCATGTACATGTACATGTAGTAGTACATGTAGATGTACATGCACATGTACATGTAGTGGTACATGTACATGTACATGACATCAACATATAGATTTACATGTAAAAAAATCCATGTAGATGTACCATGTAGATGTAGATGTAGATGTAGATGTACATATACATATACATTATTCGTGTGTAATTTTTGCTATGCTTAAAAGCACTTTTGTAAATTTGTAAAAGTAATTAAGTACAAGTACAAAGTACATAGATTACCGTAGGTCGGGTTATATTGAAAAGGTACTTGTAAGCAGCACTAAATACTTTGAAAGCTGTGCTTATTTGTACTTAAGTACAAGCACTACTTGACCCCATGCCTGATAAGTACATCAATGTGTATCAGAAAATGTAATAAAATTGGGGATAATTTTTGAGTCAATTTCAAAAAAAGCATGGGCTGCAATAGCCTTTGCTGTTTCTTTTAAAATGGCTCGTTTTAAAATTAGTCATAACTCAAAAAAATTCTTATTGGAATCAACTCAAACTTTTACACAACATAAGGACATTAATGTGTATCAGAAAATGTAAGAAAAATTGGAGTCATTTTTAGCCATTTTTTGAAAAAACCATGGGCTATAGCCTTGGATATATTTTCCAAAAATTGGCCTGTTTTTTAAAATAGCCATAATTCAAAAAATATTTGTCGGAAACACCTCAAACTTTCTATACAATTAGTATGTAACAGAAAATGTAATAATAATTTTGGAGCCAATTTTTGAAAAAAAGGATTTTGAAAAAACCTATATTATGTTTCATGTGAATACATGAAATTAAAGTCCATTTGTGTTCACCTGAGTCCTTGTTTTCTTGTTATAACTTTTGACTTACAAGTTCTATTGTAAAAATAAACATACCAGTGCATTCCTCTCCTTTTGCCACATCTATTGTACTACTTAAGAAGCAGCTTTAGCTCTTTAACTCCAAGTTGGTTGTATAACCCATGCAGAAAGTACAGCCATACTTTTCACAATATTATTGCATTGTGTTAATTATTGGGTGGGGTTTCTAATCACTTCCTGGGCTCAGGTGAATGCAAATGGACTATAGTTACAAGAGTATTACTCTTTACCTCCCATGAGCGT